TCAGTCTTACTGATTTATAATGAAACTAACTGCATCAGCAAAAACAATTTAAAAAGGATGGAGTACAGAAAGAACTGGTTGCCAAGAACAAGTTGTAATCACCCACAGATACCCAGGGGTAGCTCTCAGCAACTCAATTAGCCTTAGTGGAGTTCTGTTGGATTTGCATTAGTAAAGGAAAGCGCAGGGGTTAGTCCAAAAAATCTCTTAGAACACCAAAGGTAATTCAGAAATACACAATGGCAACAAAGAAGATAAAATGCTGCACATCCAAGATCTAGTAGGTTGCAACTGAAACTTCCTCAGCTCAGTCTGAACTGGGTTTTAAGATTTATATGCAGATTGAATAAAGCCTGATAAGATTATTTTCCTAGAAAAGGAAGAAATCTAGACTGAGAGCAAGCCTGAGGGAAATCTGGTATGCTAGCTTCAATTTGCTCTCATCAACAGCATTACCGGTCTCTGCTATATCACAGAGAAGAGTTTTTAAACCGTCTCATATTCTTACAAAGTAACTTCAGAATCTGAGATTTTCACAGAGGTAGAGATCCCATTTGGTTAAACAAGAGCAGTCCATTTTTCTAACACACAGAAATGACACAAGATGCTGCACAGACTAAAATGAATCGGCTTAAGAAGGTAGTTAACAAGTTATCCAGGTGATATTTATTAAACATGACGGAGCAGATGCTTAGGAAGTCCTTAAACATCAATTCCCAGATGCTAGGAGCATATAATATGAAAATCACTACTTCATTTAAACCCCCAAGCGTCCTAACTTCTTTAAGGAATCAATGTTTGCCACAGGTGTCCTCTAGACCAACCAAGGTGACTGGAGGTGGGGAGGAGAGGTCATGTTAAATTCCACCAAGTATGCTTATCCTCTGGATCCCATCACATACTGTTAAATTAGTATTTTGCATCCTTTTCCTTACAATGGGCTTCCTTAATGCAATGTTTTCTTCAAAGTAAAAGTGAGTTACAGCAAAAGGACTCTAAATATGAAAAACTGAGTATCTGCATGACCTAGAACAGAGGGAATAGTGGAAACCTGGTTTCCTTTTCCTGTAGACTTTATTTCAAAACAGCCCACTTCTGAGCTCTGCAGAAAAAGGGCAAACACCACACTGAAGACATTCTCACCCCATTTTCTCCTCCGCAAACGCTAAAAGCTTCACAAACTAACTTTGTGCTGAATTTGAAACAAAATTGTTTGCTGCCTCTTTTCCAGAAGTCCAGAAGTCACTACAGGAGTGCACACGTTCAGACCTTGCTGATGTGAAGCATTCCCCTAGGCTTTACACCCAGTACACAACATGCATACACAGATTTCAACCACATCCCACAGAGCTGAGTGTTTTTTGTAGGAGGAGGCAGTTGAAGTAAGCCTCCAACTGCAAAAGAAGCAGGCAACTCCAGTGATGAAAAGTTTTGAGCTGCTTTCAGGAGACAGGGTTTTGCTGAGTATCAACCTGTTACCTGAAGGAAGTTCATGCATGGAAGAGAGACAGTAGAGCCTGAGAAGCAGTCAGCTGAAACAACTTTGCACTTTTCCTGTCTAACAGCATAAACAAGGATGGGCATATTGCTCCAAGAAATTCATAAAGAGATTTTCACCTTAAAACATCAGTCATGCAATTCCCTAGCTTTTCCAAGTCAACTCCCAGTTGTTCTGGGGCCTTACAAGAAAACCATGGAGGTTTTCCATTCTTTTATATGATCAGAGCCATTGCTCCAGGTAAGCAAAACAGATGAAGGCCTAAGCAATCAGATGCTTAGAATTCTGCCAGATGCTTCACTGCAAAGACTGACACACAAGCTTGTTCCAATGTGTATCATTACCAAGATCATTTTTCATCCCCTGCTTTAACAGATGACAATCAGTTTAAGAAAAAAACAAGCTGAAAAACTATTAAAGACTTCTGCTGGGTTTAATTACATTATTCTATGATCTATAAAAAGCACAGAGGAAATACAGTGATACTTGAATTTTGTTTCAGCCTACTTGCAGAAGGATAATGATACGCTACTTTGTGCCCTATTACCATCTCAGAAATAATGAAGGCAATAAAATAATGAAACCAATGAAAGATATGGCCAAGGGCAAGGAGCACTGTGACAACAGTGTCTCAACTGAATCCTATGCTGGTTTGAAAGTGGATATATTGCTGACACTGTATTATATACATGGAAAATATGGAACTGCAACTGCTAAGGTGAAATTTTTCTTCTGTGAAGATCTAATACTGCTCAGTGGTGGCATCCTTCCATCCCAATCTACCTGAAGAAAAAAGGGAACCCAAAAAATGAAGATATGTATTTAAACCTTGGCTCTCTAATACTCAGACACCTTACATTTAGCTCAGAAAATTCCCTATTTCCTCTCCAGTGATACTAATGGATGCTTTATCTGTGTGTATGTAAACAGAAGCACCATAGAATTAAACAAGAAAAGCAAACTGCTCTTTATTAAAGAAACACAGCTTGAAAGCCTGTTAGAACAGAAAAGTTAACATAAGAAATACACTCCTAAATGAAACACTGCGTTTTGCAAGCATGTGATGTTTTTTAAAGAAGTGGTATAATTATGTGGGGGCTATAAATGTAACTTTAGAAATAACAGACAAATGCAGCTTGCCTCGTAGTAAAAATTCAAATGCTCACTTATGCACAGTCAGCAGTTCAGTAAGTGCTACACTGAGCTTTGCTTTCTCAAATAGTTCAATGAAGGTTTTGAACAGTTTAGATCACTGAGCTATATGCAACTCCTTCAATCTATTTACAGTGGCGTTGACAGAAGTAAGCCACAATATGTGCACACTTTTGAAAGCTTATTTGCATCACATTTAAGGAAACAAGTAGAAGGCAAAATTGACAGAAATTATGGAAAAGCAAAGACCTCTTTTTTCTAGACACATGTTCCATCAGCAGGAGTCCCATTATTTGTTATAACAATCTTTAACTTGCAATGACTCTGAAGAAGACTAATAACAGACTGGTGGGAACAGATGGAGTGGTGCTGTTAATTATAGGCACTTAGCTGCATCAGACCCCATGAGTTATTACAAACATTTCCCACTAGGGAGGAGAATCAGTTGCTTTTAAGTAGTATGTTGCTTACTAAGCTGGAGGCATTAGCAGCCAGGATTGTACTAATCAGTACTAACAGCATAAAATAAAAGTCAGGTGCAAACAAAAAAGATGAAAATAGTCCTCTAATAACTCCCACACTATGTTGTTTTCTTTTCCAATCACTTATAAAAGTTCTTCTACAAAGACTTAAACTCAGGTCTCACTAATTAAATCTCCCTACCATTCAGGTGATTTTTTCTAAGCATCTGACCAGCAAAAATATACAATTAAATACAGGAAACCCATCTTAGCAGAATGATAGAAGGTATGCAGACCTCCTTACCTGAGTGAAGCCAAGAACCTGCCAAGTGATTCACCACAGAAACAGGTTATTCAGTCAGCTAAACAGTATGTTGTTCCAGAGCACCTGAACACACCCTTTCCCATCATACAACCCAAATATCATTTCTAAGTCTTCTGAGTTTCCTCCTGCATCCCTACCTCCAAACAGAAAACTGTCTCCCTTCTGCTTCTCAACAAAGCATCTGGACTTTATTAAATCCATCTGCTTGCTTGAGAGAGTATTTCTCCATGTTACATTCAACGAGAAGCTGCTACTCTTCGTAAGGATCACAGCACAAAAACGATACAATGCTTTCCTTTTGCAAGCTCTCATAAGGCTACAAACAAAGACAATGTTGCAGAAAACATTTCTGAAGGGACAGTAACTCAAGAGACCCTTTAAAAAAGCATGGAACAAATACTGACTGTCTGGAAGCCACAGAAACACTCTGAATAAAAGAACCCAGTCTTCAACAGTCCGAGTTGTGCCTTATTTGAAAAAACTAGTATGCAACTTCTGAAGCTTTAAGCAGTACCTTCATAAACATCAATGACTGGAAAATTTAGACTATTAAAGAATCCTTATATTCTGATGTTTAGTCACACAGTAGAAAATCAGAATGATACTTGTCTGAGTTTTCCATGGATAATTAACTCATCTGTAGGGTACTTATTAGCTAAACAGCCTTAGCCATAAAGGTCAAGGGGAAGAAAATGGCTTTTACAACTATTGTGAGAGCGCATACTAAGAAATACATTAGAAAGAATAAAAAGCAGATTTGGGGTGCAAGTCCACTTAACAGCTGCTCAAAAAAGCACATGCTGTATGAAAACTAATTACAAATTACATGAGAAATTACATCAAAACTACTCACATGCTGAAGGGACACTGTGCAAATCGTCCTTCTTTGGAGGTTACTATTTTAGTTGGCAAGTACTCCAGTCTGCTGGGTTCACACGCACAGAAATGGGTACTGAAAGTTACATACACAACTGATCTGCCTTAGCCTGCATAAAGCCTGACAATTTTCTCAACTGAAATTGAAGTTCTTTATAACTGAAGTTATTAAGAACTTCAGTGGAAAGTACAAACAGCGGTTATGATGACAGCCCAACTTTGGTTAGAAATCTTAACTTTCAACAGATCTCAGCTTATATGCAAACAGGCAACACCTTACCTTCCTACAGGCCTTGATGAAGCAAAACTTTCCAATTGATTTCAAGGGAAGCTATTCACAAGAAATCCAAAAGTTTAATAATTTCCTTCCTCCTCTCCCAGGATATTTTCCATAATCTTTCAAATCACTCTTAATGTAGCAATAAACAAATTCACTCCGTACTGATACTTAGGGGAAGACCAACCCATTACATCTAACAATGAAATGCACTCATTTGCCAAGGAAGGAACAGTTGTATCTAAGTTAATTCTCTTGTCATTCCATTCAGGAGTTGAAAAACCAAACCCCTCACACTTTATGTTAAGCTAGTATTGATATTAGGGCTGGTTTAGAAAAGGAAATTTTCTCTGGAATCCCATGTACAATGTGGTCAAAAAACCCAAATAATCCAATATATTCAATACTTACATTCAAATTTGAGGACCCAACATCCAGTCAGAATAGCCATCATACATTTGACAGTTTTTGGCATTGGAACATCAGGGATAACAAGATGAGTTACTAGGAAAGAGATGACATCAGTAGAACTAAAAGCACATAAAAATCAGAACCATGCCTGGCTGAAAAGCAATCAATCACCATTTAAAGAATAAACAAGCTATAATAATTTATCAGCTACTCTTTCCAGCACAAGTATGTGTATTTTTTGACACTAAGATATGATCGAGTAGGAGCGCTATTAGAAAATTTGTGGGTTTCAACATATACTTGCTGTGAAAAAAAAGAGAAGTCATACTTTTATAGTTCTAAGCTAACACTTAAATCTTCAGAGGAGGCTCTGGTTTATAGGATAGTACCTTTTTTCCCAGGCCTTTTAAAGTTAAATAGAACTTTGACAGGAAACTTCCTATGGGATCTCACAGCTTTAAATCAGAGCTAACAGGACTTAACACACAATACTGGAGTAATAATCAAGATGTGAAAGATGGTAGGGGAAAATAACTTTAGCATTTCTTTCACAAGCAGGAAAGGAAGCACTCCAAACAACTAATAGGAGGGATTAAGACAAAATTCTCCTCAAAGGTGAACAAAAAAGAAACCCAACTCAAAGCCCATAATTTGGCTGTATCATCTTAATGAAGAACCAAATTTAAAGCAAGACAGTATGTGAGAAGAAAATTGCCAACTTCTACTCGATGACATGCTCTTTCTAAAGGCACCACCATCTGCCTAAGACTCATGTCTGAAAGATAAGAATCTTATAGTGTCTCATATGAGCAGAGACCTTTAAGTTGGTAAAAGAAGTGTAAAGAGGCTTTGAGGAGGACAGGGGGATTTTAAATGTACTGCCAAAACGTGGCTCCCTTGGAAGCATCCCATTGTAGTAACCAGGTTTTATATATATTTACATGCAACAACACACCATTATTCTACTACAGCTGTAACTCAAGAGATTTCAGAAACTACACTAATCAGGAATGATAAAAATGCTGTTGCAGCTAGCATCTTAAAGGATAAAGTGCAGAACTGTAGTTACTTACATTTGGACAGAGACATTTTATCAAGACTACATACCTCTGCTGTTAAAATCAGTACATTTTCGAGCCTTCAGAACTGTTGTTAGTTTGTTCAGCTGTTTCTGTTGTTCCACACTAAGATTGCTCCCCAGTATACCAAGAGGTCCATCTCTTGGCTGGCTGGAGCTCAGCACCTGAATGAGCAGGAAATAAACTGAATGTTTAGGAACACAAATAAAGCAACTAACTCAACAGTTTTATTTATAAGAGTAAGACACTGGAACAGGGTGCCCAGAGAAGCTGTGGCTGCCCCATCCCTGGCAGTGTTCAAGGCCAGGTTGGACACAGGGGCTTGGAGCAACCTGCTCTAGTGGAAGGTATCCCTGCCCTTGGCAGGGGTTGGAACTGCATGAGCTTTGAGGTCCCTTCCAAACCAAACCATTCTATAATAATAAGCATTATTATTCTACCATTCTATAATCTATAAACAAACCATTCTATAATAATAAGCATTTTGAAAAACAATTCATGACAAGCTTAGCGGACAGGGTCCTTAAATAAATCTCTGTATAATAAACCAGCCCTAGAGGAAAAAAGCTTGACATTTGAGGTACTTCATTTAGCTTATGCAAGGTACTAAAACAGCTTGTGCATCAGTTTTTTCCTTACTTGCCTTTTGTTCTTTTCCTAAGGACACTGGTATGCACACATGTAGCTGGTTGAACATTGTGGTAACAGCCTGGCTGACTGCAGTGTTGAAGAAGAAAAAATAATTCCCAATATAGTAAAGCCTCCGTTTTTTAATGAAGTATTACCCACAGCTACACTACCAATATGTTGAGTAGCCTGTATAATTAACACGTGTGTTTCCTTTTATTGAAAAGTCCCAATATGTTGCCCTGTAAGTAACGAATGCTTAAGTTTGTTTTATGCGGATACTGCTAATGCAAAGTAAAAGGATCTACTTGCTCAAGAAGACAAAGATGCTGACAAGGATGTGATGCTTCAGCTCTGGGGTCTTTGTAAGTACTCCCAGTTCCCATAGTACAGATACACCTTTGAGACCCAGTTACTGTGAAGTCTCAGGCTTCGGATCAAGTCATCCCTACAAGCTAGTAACCACCCATTGGTACACACTCATCCCAAAGCAAATGCAAATACTGAGGGTTATCTTTGCAACAGAAAAGCTGCATCTTTCATTTGCTTCAGGTGGGAGTAACAGTCAGATCCTTGCAGATTTAGCTGCAACAGTTTACTTCTGGCCAATGGTTATTACCTCAATAAGGAGAGAACGCAACAGGTTCTATACCCTGGAGTAGACTAGGACTGCTGGTATCATTAGGATAACCTGATTTTGACCACAAGTCCTGAGAAGTCTTTGGCAAGAAACCACTAAAACAATCTTCCAAAACCTGTTTTTAACTGCTGAGCTGGAATCTTCATTTTTGGACGAAGAATTATACTGGAACAGCATTTTAAGAGCACACAAAAAGCAAAGACTGCTACTGCTTTCAGTCAGTTTGGTACGTAGAATGAATTCAAATATGCAGAAAAACAACAGCAAAGTTAAATCAGCAATACTTCAAAAATAACACAAGGGTCGTTCTTCTATGCTAAAGCCACGTTACAAGAAACATCCTTTGTTTTCCCAGATAAAGCTATAACACAGAATACCAGAGCTTGTAAGTGTCCCACATACATTCTAGAAATATTGGCTGAGTTAGTTTCCCAGCCCATTTTAAATGTCCCTGTAAAAGCAGGTGATGCTCTGTACTTTAGTCCAAGCCTTCAATACTTACAGGATGACTTACATTATTTCCAAAACCAAAACAAAACCAAACAACCACGCATGTTTACCTCAGAGGGTTGGTTAAGTGGAAATGATTCATTCTTCACTGGTAACATTAGCACAGACTTCATCTTTTCACTTTCTGCGTAGTCCACAGGCCGCAGACCAAATATATTACTGGCAAAACAAGCACAGATGGGTTTAAGTAAATAAAATGTGACTTGATTCTTAACTAACTGGGAACATTAGCTGGGAAACTTTCCCTCCCACATTCTTATTAATATGTAATTTCAGCTAAAACCCACAAAGCTTCAAGTAAGAATTGCATCCAAGACAGATGGATACTGAATTACAAGCTGCTGCATTCAGCTGAGGAGTAAGGGATGTTCAGAGCACTATGTCTGGTTAAATAAACCCAGTCCTTGTTAAACTGTTTCAACATGCATTTTGATATTGTTCACAAGACCTAGAAACTTCAGCTTTAACATTTCATTGCAGTCACATAATCAAGAAATGTATTTTTGGCTTACCCATTTGCCATAAAAGACATGTCAGAAGATTCTACATCCTGTGTTAAACACTGGAGCTCAATGTAGTTATGCTTTTATGGGAAAAGCTATCTGCTTCCTACTTGGGAACTGTGACTCCCTCACACTTCCAAAATTTGAGTATGCATCTCATTTTTGCTCAGCATGCTGTTCCACAGAACACATAGCAAATTCATTCAGATTTTAGTTGCTTTGCCAATTCTGTTGAACACTATTCATCCTATGTGGCACCTCATAGTTATTAGGTATGCTTCAAGACCCATTTCCTCCCCCATTCTTTTAGCATTACTCAGACAGATATGATTTGCTATAAACACAACATCAAGCATAGCCATGGCTTCTATCTCGTCTTCACACAACTTCACAGCTGAAGGGCAGTAGTGAACAAAAGCTTGAAGACAAAAAACAGGTCTAATCACTGTTAAACAAACACAGAACCACAGAATGGTTTGGTTTGGAAAGGTCTTCCAAAGCTCATCTAGATCCAGCCCCCTGCAATGAGCAGGGACATCTTCAACTAGATTAGGTTGCCCAGAACCACATCCAGCCTGCCCTTGAATGCCTCCAGGGATGGGGCATCCACCACTTCTCTGGGCAACCTGTGCCAGTGTTTTACCAGCCTCATCATAAAGGATTTTTTCGTCGCATCCAGCCTGACTCCCCTCTTTTAGCTTAAAACCATCACCCCTCATATCCTGTCACAATAAGCCTTGATAAAAAGTCTCTCCCCATCTTTCTTATAGGCCACTTTTAAGAACTGAAAGACTGCAACAAGGTCTCCCTGGAGTCTTCTCCAAGCTTAACAACCCCAACTCTTAAGCCTGTCTCCATAGCAAAGGTGCTCCAGCCCTCCGAACATTTCTGTGGCCCTCCTCTGGACCCTCTCCAACAGGTCCATGTCTTTCCTGTGCTGAGGACTCCACAGCTGGAGGTAGGACTGCAGGCAGGATCTCACCATGGCAGAGAAGAAGGGCAGAACCACCTTCCTTGTCCTTCTGTATACGCTCCTTTGGATGCAGTCCAAGATAGCATTGGCCTTCTGGGCTGCAAGTGCACGCTGCCAGCTCATAGAATCACAGAGTAGTTTGTGTTGGAGGGGACCTTAAAGATCACTTAGTTCCAATCCCCCTGCCATGGTCATGTATAGCCTTCCATCCACCAGTCTCCCCAAGTCCTTCTCCTCAGGGGTACTCTCAATCCCTTCATCCCCCAGCTTGTATTGATAGCAGGGGTTATCCTGACCCAGGTACAGGACCTTGCAGTTGGCCTTGTTGAACCTCTTGAGGTTCACTCGGGCCCACCCCTTGAGCCTGTCCAAGTCCCTCTGAATGGCATCCCATCCCTCGGTCACATCAGCTGCACTACTTGGCTTGGCATCATCTGCATACTTGATGATGGCACACTTAATCTCACTGCCTATGTAACTGTTGGAGACATTAAACAGTACTGGTCCCAGTAGAGACCCCTGAGGGACGCCACTTGTCACTGGCTGATCCACCACCAGGACTCTTGGGAAATATTCTGCTGATCCAGCTGATCCTCTTCTCCCCACCTCATGTAGCTCTGGCTCTCAAAAGCCGTAATAAAAGCTCGTTATGAAGGGGAAGCTTGTCCCCAAGAACAAAGCCCTGACTCAGTATCTGAAATCCGGTTAAGTTTAGTCATCAAACAATGAAACATTTGAAGAGGTCAAAAAAACACTGCATCTTTGAAGTGCTGTCTCTCAGCCAGTCACACGCCCTTGTGCAGAGAAGGAATCTAGGAAACTTTATAGGGAATTCTATAACCCAATCCAGTCCAAAAATAAGCTCAAATTATTAAGTTTTCACTGACTTAGCCAGGGGGCTTTAACGAATGCAATGCTGAAAGATGCATCAGATCTTAGCACCTTTCTATGCTCCTGACTGAGCACTGCTCACTAATGTGCCTCTCGGGAAAACAACCCACAAAAATCCCACACAGAAGATCCTGGGATGGTATTTTACGGTTGCTAGTTTTACAATATTACCAACACCAAGCTTTTTTGTGAACTAATGAGCAGAGAGCTAGCATAATACAAATTCTGCAGCCTAAACATAATTGGTTAAATCTCAGCCCAGTCCTGGGAGTTGCAGCCCATTAAATATTGTCATGCTGCTCCTGCTTTGTCATACATCATCAGGGTAGCTCTTGCCCTTTCTTTAAATAAAGGCAATATTCCATTCACACTGCTGCAGAACAGAGTTCCTTTGAACAATGCATGAGGAGAAGGGGTGGATGTATAAGCACATACACTAAAATCACCTTTAGACTAGATGGCTGATCTTTTACTGTGAGCTACCCGGGGGGGGGGGGAAATCACTCCATGTCAGTAGCAGAGGTTTGAGAGTGTCTTTCCCCCACCCCATCCTATGTCACAGTAAGGTCCTTGACTGTTCGGAATCATGAATGTTTACCATAGATAAATATATAGGCCTCCACAGTTAGATCTAGAACACTTTTTACTAATGAAACTGTACAAACAAGAGCTCCACCTATTCCCTCTGTATTCTCTTCTTTTTTTTTTCCCTCCTTTTTTAAGATCGTATAGTTGCTTCTTACCACGCATTGCTATCCCATCATTACGCATCATTAAAGAATTAATGGCTATTCACAGGATGTTAAGACAGCATAGTTAAAGTAAAATGTGACAAACTTGGGAGCTGAGGTCTGAAAAAAGGAACTTCAGCCTAAGGGATGGATGTATGAGTTCTGCATGTTTGTAACAAAGCAGCTTGCTGAGCTTAAGGAAAGTGTGAAAAGTAGCTGTAACAGGAGAAAAGAGTTTGTAAAATAAAAACTAAGGCAAAGAACATGTCCTAACAACAGATTTCAAGTATGGCATTATGATTTACATGTCCTTTTTAAAGAGAAAAGAGATGAAAAACAGATTTGTTCTTTTTAGTTAGGCACCCACTAAGCATCCAAGAAGTAATCATGATCAGAATGAGACCTTGCCCGCTCTCTGTTGGGCTGGTACACATATAAGTGCAGTTGCTTGAGGAACCATTTTTAACATTTCAGGAATGCATTTTAGGACCAAGGACTAGATCTATGCAGCCACAAGAACACGGGTAAGGCACAGGAATGGGAAACAGAGCTTTTGGCAAAAGCATGCGCTCAACTCTGTCTTTATTCAGCCAAACTAAACAAGAGAAATCATCCACTTTGTTCAGAGTAAAACATGAATTTTGACCAAGTTTGCAAAACAAAGTTAAGTGAGACATGCATCTTAGGTCCACGCTCGCAGATAGAGCATTCTTAGAAATATCAGTAACTATGTTTGTGTGTTCCTACTATAGGTCTGGGTTTGTTGAGAACAAGTCCAGTGCACATGTTTGCTTAGCAGGGTAAGTTCCACACTCAGAAGGAAGACAATTGTTTCTACAAGAGATAAATAGTGTCTCTAGTGCTTAAGCTAAAATACAAAGTCTCTAAAGCATACTTTTTACCAGAATGAAAAAGGGCTTTTTGTAAGTTGTTTTAAACATTCAAGAGTCAGAAATATCCTTTGATACAAGCAGTCTCCTATTAGTAAGTCATTAAAGTACTGAACAGGCAGTAGAGGGCTACTACAGCTAGAACAAATTCCAAAGAACAGAATGACTGCTGAGAACAAAGATGAGCCCAGTGAAGAGAAACTCAATGTAATCTGCTGAGTGTAACTTTACATGAGATGATAGATGGTATCTTAAGGAGTGACAGATAAAAGAACTTCTTAGCAAAAGCTTTAGAAATGAAATTCAGTTTAGAGTGCAACACTGCTGAAGTCTACGGTATGAAGACAACAGAGGTTACCGCTATAGTCAGAAAGAAATTTAACATCTACCTTCTAAATGTTTCATTAAACTTTCAGGAAACAAGTGACCATAGACAAGATAAATCAGGAGACACCCCTGTCAATTCTTTAGAAGTCCCAAACTTGCACAGCTTCTACTACAAGCAAACAATGACTATATAATACTGTGTAATCAGGAGTTTTAAGCTGCTCCAGTTTAATTTCAGATGTTATTTGCTGTTCTACAGCTGGGCATAAACCAAAGTTTACCCCAGTCCCACAAGAGTTCAGTATTTAATGGAAGTCCCGCAACCATGTCCCAGTGCAGTTCTGTAACCACTTATTCCCATGTGAAAAGCTGACCAGTTTGGGGATCTCCAGTGAGCACCTATATTTTGAGAGTATGGTAATGTCATGGTAAGCAGAGAACCTGACAAAAAGAAGAAAATTTAATCTGTAACCACAAAGACCATCTTAGATATCCACAGAGGGCCAGGGTTCTAATTAACCTGCTGTCAGCAGGAAGGTAAGCATACTGTCTTGCACCAAGACAGCGAAGTGTTGCACTGGCTTGACTCAGAAAAAGCAGACAAAACCATGTCAGTGTCATGGGTCTTGTGCCTCCTAGAATTAACTGCAGGTTACAGAAGTTTCTGCCCTTATGCCATTCATAATTGAGGACCACTATCTACCCCGAAGCATTTCCACAGGTTTGGGCAGAACCAGCTTCATAACTACTCAAAAGACAGCTATCACCTAAAATAAATAAATAAATAAAATAGGGCAACACAACAATTTTTACTAATGCTAAACTTACTGTGCATGAAGAACTGGAAAGAGAGCCCATTTGCGTGAAAGCATTTAGGAAGTACTGTGAAATTGCAAACACAGATCTAATTTTTCAAATCACCTGGCTTGCTGTGAAGCAAGGAAAAAAAAAATTCAAGGGAGTGAGCACATGAAAAAAAAGCCATAAAAAGAAAAACTAGCTATGTGTAGGAGATTAACTTAAAAAAATTAACTAGACCACCAGGACAATTAATAGGTCCACTGGTCCATACAATATTTTTCATTTGTAGTTCTTATCTTCCCCAGTCAGGGAAAACTTCAAATGGCAAATGAAGTGCCACAGCTATTAAATCTTACAGATTTCCAAAGAAATTTTTTGCCAAGGGATAACGAGATCCCAGGATTTCGGTATTTGTTTTCTGGTAAAAGAGATAGTTTTCATCTGTACTCACTTGGTCCAAAAGATATATAGCTGCTTCATATTACATACATTTAATGCACTAGGTATTAACACACAAGGAGAGAGAACTAGCCTGAAAAGACATGTGGAATGAAATGTACTTGATGGGTCTGTGAACCTGATGATCTAAAACTGAATTAGCCTCAGCTCTCTAACAGCAAGGGTTATGCTAATATCTGTGTGCCTCATGAACTGGGGTCCCTCAGAAAGCGGCTGTGTTTGCTCCTAGATGTATCTTGCATCCATCTACAGACTAGTGGATCTTACCTGTCTTGGAGCCTGCAGTCAATAAATATTGCACATCTTTAAAAAATATTTCATCTTGCACAATTGAGTATCATACTAAATTTCAAAACTATTGCTCTAAGCAGGCTATTCAACACAAGTTCTGGTTTTATTCCAGTAGATTAACGCTTCAACACACAAGGAACGTTAAGCCACAAAACTGAGTTAATTCTACTGTCAAAACAGCAGCAAGACATCAGTCACTTTTGTGAGGTTTCATGCTATATATTTAATAGTGTCCCAAGCCACATCTGAATACATTTATCATGTTCACATTTTACTTAGCATAGCTAAAAGAAAAGACTAAGTAACCGCAGTGAACTAATTAAACTTCTCCCCCGACCCCCACGAGGTCATGAAGAATCACTTCAATATGCTAGGATAAAGAAGGCCCTCTCCTGGGTTGAAAGTTAGCTCACTAAGATCCTGAAGAGCCCTCAGAAGAACTAGAAAGTTTCATACAGCAAATAAATCCCAAACAAACTAAATCCACCAAAATTATACAAATTATCAGTTTGGTTAAATCAGTTTGGCATTGTCTTAGCTCACACACAGTGTACCTCTAAAGTTAAGGCACTCCTCAAGTATAGTCCTAAAAAAAATAAACCTTTCAAAAGAGATTCAAGTTTTACTCATCACTGCTCAATTTCTACTTTAGAGATCCTAAAGTGATAATGTGATGGTGAGCAGAACCTGCATTAAGTACAAAGAGGACAGTTAGAACTAGTCACACTGAAAAGAACTTTAATTGTACATTCTTAAGTGATCACCCTGCCCTTGCCTCTTAAAACTGGTCTGCAGGTCTTGGGGATCTTAAAAAAAAAGTCGCTAAAGAAAAGCAACCTTCTTGTCAGATGTGACTTCATTATAAGGGTACCTGGAGAAAAAAATTTCAACCTTCTACATTAAAGGCAGCTCAAATCCACGTTATCTAAAGAAATCCAACCACTGTTTAACTGGGACGGCAACTACCAGAGGCAGAAAAATAATACTGTAAGATTTGCAAAGTCAGGATGCAGGGAAAGATCATGGCGCAATTCATTGCTGGAAGCTAGCAGGGTACAGGAAGGAAAGGAGGCACAAGACATTCTCAGAAGTCTCATCCATACTGTTCTTGGTTCTATTGTTTCTTGGCAGTGTTTGGAAGAGGTCAGTAGAATCTTGCTACTCAAGCCTGAACACTTGGCTTGCACATCCCTTTCTCTGTGTTTCTAATGCTTTCTCTAAAAATAAGCGTATGTGGAAAAACATGCCCTTTCCATTATCAATGAAATAGTAACATGCACAGTAGCATTTCAGCTACAGAAGATTTGGAAATCTTTTTCCAGATACGACATACAGGGCTGGACTTTTGCCAAAGCACCTGTGGTTCCTATTGCCAGACAAAACAAACATAAAAGGTGGCTAAATTTGTTCACACAAAAGATTTTAAGTTTAAAAAAAGTGGCTATATATATTTATTAACACCACAACACTAGCTACTCCAAGTACCCCAGAGATCAAGTCAAGAACAGTGCACACATAGAAGTGCACTAGAACCCATTTTTGATATTAAGAAGGAGCTAGTTGCAGAGTTGCGACATATCCTATGTCTCATTGTTTTAATACACAACTGAACATAACCTGTATTCAGTGAAAAGCTAAGACAGCATATAAGGTTTCTAGAAAGCTCTCTTTCCATGATCAAAAAGCTTCTGTTTTAACAGGAAGTCATGTTTGCTTATGTAGAATGCGCTGAAAGAGGTTCAGTTTCATCTCAGTTTGCATGGACACATGAGTTACAGTCTAAGGCTAATGAAAGACCTGAAGAGTCCACGGCTGGCATTTGGAGTCTCAGCTGTGCAAATCTACCAGTGCTTAAGTCCTGTCAAAAACTTGCATCAAAGCCATCCACTGTGCTAGACTTTCAAATACCAAGTAAGAAGTGCCACAAAATCAGTCTGCAATACTCAAGTGGCCTGAAATCAGTTTCTGAAGTTGTCAGCTTTTCAACGTGTAATGCATGGTCTTTGCTGTCAAGAACAAAGCGAAGATGAACAGTTGATCTTTGTTTTATTTTTTTATGCTAAAGTTTTGTGGGTTTGTTTTGTGGTGTTCTGTTGGGTTTTTTTAACTCCCTTATATTCAAAATTAGCACTCGTTATGAAAACCTTATGCTTTTCCACCGAATACCTTAATTCTCTAAGCTTCAAGAGCGAATATAGAGGGCTGAAGTGATTCAACTGAACTTGTTTATGCTTTTTTATGCATCTGGCAAGGAAAGTTGTGTCACGCAAGACTTCATCCTATTGTGCTACTATACACACACATCTATGGACAACATGCATCAGACTCAGATCGTATACACACAGGCCCTGGACAACAGCAATACTACAACACCTAAATCCACATTTAGTGTCTGAAAAACTTATAGCTTGTAGGGTTATCCATAGACTAATGGATTCTTTCGCACCTCCTACATCCAAATGCCAAAATCTTTGAGAAGCTTAACTGTATAGAAGATTCAACTAAAATATTTCTAAGCTTTAAATTTTTTTAATTAAACAGTGTACCAAGAATTAGCGCTTTAATGCAGAATGGTAAAAAATGAAACACACTCCCCACATATCAGCTTGTGTCCATGTCACTTGTGAAGGTAGAGGCTGGACTAAAACATCTTTTTGTAAGTGCAGTAAAAGTAAAGAGACAAAGAAACAGCTGTAGGAGTTCAAAACCCACCTAGCTCAGCATCTTAGATATGACAGGAGCTATAAGAAGATGTCAACAGGGAAGTGTAAGAACCAGGTAAGCTTATTTTGTTACTTTCCTACTACAATCTCCAATACTCCAGCTATCTATGATTCAGACATCCTCAGAAAAGCTTAGGACAAAGCAAAATGGAAAGAAAACACCTACGTGGAAAAGAAGGATGTAAGTATAGTAGAGCATATGTTTAACACCCACCCCCTCACTTCAGATAAATCACATTTATTACCAGCTTTACTTCATGTTTACTTAACATACACCCTGGAAGTTGCAGCTGTGCCACAGTTAAAATAACATTCCACATGTACTTACACTGCATCACGGGAAGCACCATGCAAAAGAAGCAGCTCAACAATGCTCACATGCCCATTCCTGGCAGCATCATGAAGCGGCGAGTCATTCTGGTACCCTGTAGTATTCACTAGCGCCCTGTACTGCAGTAACAGCTCCACCACTTCTCTGTGCCCATGATTACATGCCTCGTGCTAGTTGAGTAAAGCCATAGGAGAGGAAACTCAAGTGAAACAGAATTCAGAGCAAGGATTTTTGTCACACCAGTTAACACATTCATTTTCAAATACCTCTCGGTAGATGGTGGGGGAAGGTGATGCTAGGATACTGCATTACATTCCTGACATGAATTAACCTTGGAACTTAGCCCTAATAAAAAGCACAGAACAGAACTGAACAAAGGCCAATCGCATGCAAATTAGACTATAGAGAACAAAGCCTCCCAGATTAGAGACTATGTCAAGAGTATTCTTCAGAGAAGAAGTCATGGTTAAAAAGAACCTTTTGTTTATATACTGTAATTCAAATAAGCAAGTTTTTCATTCAACTACTTGATGTATTTCCAAAATGTTAAGAAACACTGAGGACATTAAGGACCTACAAAATAAACACATTGCCTGCAACTGATTATTTTCTAGTTATCACAGTTATATTTTCTACATTTGCAGAATTGAAGGCTAATAAAATTTCTTGGCATGCCCTACACCAGCAGAGGAGAGCTGGATTTGGGCACGTCAGTGTTCAGTAATTGTGAATAAATTCTTTTAAACTTGTCTATTGCCATTTAATCACTTTGCGTAAAACTTTTTTCACCAAAATGCATGTAAAGGAAACTAAAACATGGGAGAGGAAAGGAGGAATGAAATGTGATTAGAAGACAGATGACAGAAAAGAAGTCTTCAGCACCCACCAGTGGTGTCCAGCCTGCATTATCTTTGACATTGGGATCTGCTCCATTTTTCAGCAGTTGTTCAACAGCCGCTAAGTCACCCTAGACAGGAAAAACATACAGTTATTAAAAAGCAATGGAGGAGACACAAAAAGACTACAAAAAGTAAAAGATGCAGAATTATACATTTAGCTGCAATAAATAAAAATGTAATTACACAAGTCTTCCATTTAGACAACAAAAGCTCGACTAGTTTGGAGGCCATGGTTTATTGTTACTGTTCTTTTAGAAGCACCTACACACTTTACACAAATATATACTGTCAGATAAAAATGCACATAACAGACTTAACCCGGAATAAATGGACAAGTTTGTGCTACAAGGATTAAAGTCAGGAACATTTATTGAGAATTTACTTGTCCTTCAGATTGGTTTTTTTTCAAACTAATCTAAATAACTGGCTAAAAACATGCTTAGGTGAAACAAATTAATAAGCCTGAAAAGTCTTGAACCAAATGAAAAGAGTTTTATTCAACACTGCAATTTCTATTCATGTTGAATTTCACTGACACTTTCTCTGACAGTTGTTCTACCCAAATAGTTTTCATTTGCTTTTTGTAAGAATGCTATATTCTATTTTTAACATAAGCAAGGGAACGTATGTGGAAAAGGGTGGAGACTGACACAGGGATTATGGGAAGAGACTGAGACAAGGCAAAGGAAGAAACAGGGCAGAGTCTGTGAATCACAGGTTCTGACTCTTAAAAGGCAAGTATAAAAGAGAAAGTTGGTAACAGATTGAAGCATATATAGATGCAGCTACAAATAGGCAAGGAGAAGCCTCCTGTGGAAGCTGAGGCACAGAAGTCTCAACACTGCAGATATTCTTAAAAACAGCTGGGAAAAGTAACCCAAAGAGACTAAAATCAAGCAGATTATGAGGCCCTTCTCCTTTCACAGCACAGTCTGCACCCTTGCATGTTGGTACTTCAACCTCACTGCACCATCGCAGCCAGTGCAATGGTCTGCCCTACTGGAAGAGGCACTATGAATTCTGTTCCAAAATTTCTGCTAAAACCTGGGAACAGGCCAAAGGAATGATTTACCTGCACTATTACAGATTACAAGCAGTCATGCACCATTTCTCAGCTGATGGACTAACAGGGAGGAAGGAGATTGCCAAGCGTCACCACATGACCAAAACCTACCTAAATAATGCAAGCTTTTAAAAGGCTAAACTAGTATAGTAGTTTCTGCATGGTTTGTCACCAGTGCCCCAGTTATTCTCATTGTAGGTTTTGGATGTGGTTTTTTTTGGTTTAATTTTTTTTCAGGATCCACCCCAACCAAGCATTTCAAGACAACTGCTAGCACTTTCCCTAGACCAGGGTATTGTGATCCCCAGTGAAGAGAGTAAATACAAACTGGCATGTAGCTCTTGTGCCCTTGGCTGAACTTGCAATATATATAAAATATTAGGACCTGGAAGGGGGAAGAGAAGTTTAACCCATGACATACAGAACGTTCCATGCTCTTAAGTAGTGGCAAGTCAGGAATTCCTAGCTGTTACTCTACCGCACTGTGAGAGACTGATCTGAGATCAGACTCCACTGTCCATTGTCTCAAAGATCCCTCTAAGAAGCTGAGATGGAAATTCACCTATCTTTTGTCTCAGAGATGGGTGGGAGGAGTTGAGGTAACACTCCAATATTCATTGCCTGGGAGAAGGGTGTGAGGAGCTGAACTGGGACTCCACCATCCATTATCCGAGGGATGAGAAGGAAAGAACAAAGACACTTCCATCCATCACTTTGAGGATTGGTGTGAACTATTATCCCAAGAATTGCTGCAGACACGTGTGTCAAAGAGCTGGCTGCAAGACCAGGGAAACTGGTCCACCAATCACTATCCCCTTTATTACAATAACATCCTTTTTCATAACTTTTTCTGTAATTTGTAATAAACGCACTGTCCAATTAGGGTACTTAACCTCGTTTGTGTTTTTATTTCACTCTTGGGATCACAAACTGAAAGAGGGTCCAGCACTGGGGTTTTTCTCCAGCCAGACCCTGACATTAAATTGGCATCACTGACAGGATCCCTTGCAGTGAAAAGCACTATAATGTCACATAAAGTGTAAGGTATTACATTTGTACCTTTCAGGGATGCAAGGGGTAGATTTTGTTCGAATAGACATGCTGCCTCTCTGAGATGACTACCCCAACCTGTTGCTCCATTTTACTTGCTTTCTATTATACGCGTGCCTCTCAGGGAATTAAGGAGTGGGTTTTGTTGAAACAAAAAGTGCTGCTTTCTTGCGATGACTGGCCCTTTCAGAAATGACTGGCAGTGAAGCTGCCCCTCAGGGCAGAGATGGGTTATATGGTCTTGCGCCTCTCTGCTAGGGGCAGAATGGGCCAAGAAAAATTGGCACAATTTGCAAAGTGATCTGCATAACAGACCCAGTAAGCGCCCTGCAGAAGGAGGCAAAACTGCGGCTGGCAAGGGTAAATCGATTGTCTGTACCTTACCAGGCGCCAGCTTGGCTGCTGCAGTAGAGGCTATAGAACAACAAACAGCTGAATCTCAGAGCATACAAACTTTACAAGACCCGGTCAAAGCCCTGCAGGACCAGGTAGTTAACTTAAAAGAACAGTTAGACAAAGAGAAAAATCAGGCTAACTACTTGCAATTAGCCCTGAAAGAGCAACTCCTGGCAGAGAAAAGTGCCTCTACAGGGTCGGACAAAACAACTGAATACCCCCACAGTGACCTGGAACAGGTGGCCTAAGGTTAGAAAAATCAAGAGTTCCTGCCACTTCTCTCCGACTCTTGAGAAAAACTGAATATACTTACCAGCACGGAGAGGACAAATTCCCACAAATTACCACCAAAAAGGTTCCGTATACTGCTGCGGAATTAGCTAAACTTAAAAAGGAATTTGGTCGTACCCCAAAAGAACCAGAAACCGAGTATGTTTGGAGAGTGTCGCTGTCTGGGGGAGATCAAATTTTACTCAGTGAGAAAGAAGCTGAGGGCTATTGGGGGCCAGAAATATTTTTAACCACCAGTGACCACCACCCACCCTGGTCCTTAACCCAAAGAGCAGCTTATTGGGCTGGAGGACTTAACCCTTTGGGAAGGGGAGATCCCCTCGCCATCACAGGGACAGTCGACCAGTTGGTAGAAAATGCACAGAAAGCAGCATGTCTGCAAATGATGTATGATCGGGAGCTTAAGACTTAAACAGGAGTCCCCAGTGATGCTACCAGTCAATCCCAAATGTATGACTCCCCTCATTTGGGGGCTTTCTGACTCCCTGAAAGCCATGGGGAGCCAACTGCAGGGAAAGATAAAATCAACATCCCAAAGTGAAAGGGCTGGTGCTGACCTATCACCCGATTAAAAGACAGAGAAGAAAGTATGGATGTGGGGGGAAGTTGCCCAGGAATTAATTAATTATGGGAGAAAGTACAGTCCTGTCAATATTTCTAGTAAAATTGATACTAAGGAACTGAGGCAAACAGAGGCAAAAATCCCGCCTTGCCCAACTAATGGGAAACGCCTGACACCCCTTACCTCTCCAGGAGTAGAAGTATTCCTAATAAAAGACAAAGGTTGTAGACATTGGGATAGCAAAAGGGTATTCCTAAAGATTTAATGGATGGATTACCCACTGAAAAATTGGTACTAAAGTGACCCAAAATAAACTCTGTGGGCCCAAAGGAAAATGAAAGACCCCCCCACACGATTTGGAAGGCCCTAGTGCCCCACCACTTATAGATTTATCAGAATCTATACCATATCCTCTCACCCACAGGGTGGAAAACTAACCCCTATGCCCCTTGACTGTGAGAGCAAAGGGATGGAGGATGGATATATATTTGACAGCTCACTGAAGATAATTAAGGTGAATTACTTGTTTTGTAGGGCCTGACCTCATGCCACATTTTTCACTTTGCATGTTTTGTACAACCTAGAGAACTCAACTCATAATGCTATTGCCAGTTGTCCCACAAGATTTCACAGGATTTCACAATTTTGTTAGATGGTTTCTTCCTTGGTTGGGAGTGAGTGAATTAGAAAATATAACTGTAAACTGCAGTAACTGAAAACACTGAAAGGGAAATTACAGATCCTCTACAGGCATTACAGATTGAGGTATCCAGCCTCTCCCAGGTGGCATTACAAAACTGTATGGCCATTGATTTGCTATTAGCTTCCCAAGGAAGTGTTTATGCAATTATAAATTTGTTAATAATAATGATGATTATTTGTGTTTGTACCTTAGCAGGCATGATTCAATGTTGCTGTTCACAATGGTGTTTCAGAATTAAATATGGGAGAATAATCTGAGATGAGGTTTATAGGATGTGTATCCTGTAAGCCTCAAAGGGGGGAATTGTAAGCTGAAGTGCAAAGATGTAAATTAAAAACCATTCTATTAACAAGTGACCTAAACCATGGACACAGTTGTTAATTCACAAGTGTCTCTTGCACAAGCAGAGGTTAATCAGCAGACACAGTGAGGAAGAATATCGATGACCACCAGAGACCCCTCAAGACCACCACCCAGCAAAAAATGCATGTGCGATTAAAATGAAAATATTGTAATTCCAGGAAACCTAGTGAATATTTGTAAACAAATTGTTGGGCCCCCAGGGTGGCTAAGTCACTTGGGAAGCTTTAATGAAATACTGTAACAAATAATAAAGCATGACAGAACAGCTACCTGGAACCCTAATAAAATGGACAGTGATGCTTGAGAATCTATTTAGAACTTAAATTGAATTATTTGGTTACGAATGAACTGTGCACTTGCTCTGTTAGCAGACCAAGCCAAGACAATGTGGACAGCAATATTTCAACATTGCATGATTCTTGACTACTTGCTAGATGTGGAAGGGGGGGATTGTGACAAATTAAATGATGCTAATAGTTGTTTGAAAATTGATAATGGTAAAGTAGTAAAATGAATCATATCTGGAATTCAAAAATCGGCTCATGGTTCCTGTCCAAACCTGGGAGTTTGTCCAAAGGCAGTATGACCCTTTTTCCTGGAGGCCTGTGGCCTCTAAAAAAAAAAAAAAAAATATATTCTG